CTGTCTCCACAGCACTGTGCTCCCCCTCCCCGGTGCCCCTCCCCCTGGCTGGTGCATGTGACAGGCTACGCTCAGCCTGCAGCTTCATCTTCTTGGCTTTGTCCTTTCTCTAGATTCTCCCTGTAACTGCAACCTCTGACGTTTATCTTTTTCCTTGTGACTACTCTATGGAGCATAATCCATTCCAGCTGCATCCATCTTTATCTATTTTGACCTCTGAGTGGTCCCCAGTGTGTCTGTGTCCCCCGTCTCCTTGACCTGCTCATCTGTGCAATCCACCCACAATGCAATAACAGCTCACACCTGTGGGAACGGCCCCCATTACAGGCAGACGGAAACACCACGCACTGGTGGGTGCGGGGGGATGGGAGCCTCTTACCCTGCTGTGGGGTGGCAGCTGGTCTGGCCAGTCTCAGTGTGGGGGAAACCGGGTTTACCCGGCAGTGCCAGACGGCGGAGCCTCAGGAGTGGGGAGGTCAGGAAAAGGTTTGTTACAGGGGCGTGTGGACCCAGACCTGGGAGGTTACCTTTACCGATGAATACAAGGGGTTAGTGTTACACACAACTATCTCTACCTTTATTACACCAAGAGGCCCAGTCACAAACCGTGTGTAGGGAGATGCTGAAAGTGAACAGTCACTCTCGCCTGCCCCAGAATGCTCCATTGCACCAGGCCAGAAAGCACCTCCCTCCCCCCGTGGGATCTCTGTTACAGTCATTTGACAGCGATATTTCTCCTCCTATCATTCCCAAAAGGCTGAGCCTTGGCACCCATCCATCACAGCATGAGCATCTTTATCTTCTGGGAAAGGGTCAGGGGAGCCATAGTCACTACTGTGGGCCAGAGCACACTGCAGGGACTTTCTGCTCCAGCAGGCAGTGGAATCCAAGCCACAGACCCCCCAGCAGCAGGCCGGGAGAGCAGCAGATCCTGAGAGACCTGGGGACTTCCTGCTTCATTTCCCCCTACCCCCCACCCGTTGATGTCCCTACTACGTGCTAGGGACTCATGAGCAAGACCCCACTTGTTGGCACAGAAACAACAGTCTACATTCAGATACAGGTGGAGGCCACATGGGGGCCGTGAGCAGGTCTAGCCCCGACGCTTCTGGAGAACTGTTGAAAAGCCCTTGTGATCCTGGATCATTTAAAGGCTGGGCCACATTACTTAGGTCTCGGGCGACTGTTGTGAGAGGACCGAGAACTTGTGTTGTGCCAACCTGAGATCTGCTGTTCCAAGCCTGTCCCAGAAGACTCACCGGGCCACAAGCGGTGGGGTGCCAGGGGGTAGGTTTGAACAGTGGCCAGGCCAGTGTGTGAGCACAGGGTAGCTTGTTCACCCAACAGAAGTCTGACATCAGAAGTCTGACATCAGAAGTCTGAGTAAGGCGAGGCACAGAGACTAACTTCAGGCGGAATCACACACCTACAGACACCAGGAGAGTGAACAAAAGGTCCCACTGGGAGCACAGAGAAGAGCCAGAGGCTGTGCGCAAGACTCAGACACGTTAGGGTGCTGGCCACAGCCCCAGCACAGGAGGCCTGCCCCCAGGTTTATCAGGGCAGGCAATAGGCTGCTATAACGAGAACTGTGAAACCAAAGAGGAAGCAGGAGAAAGAACCGACACTGGGTCAGTTCAACAGTTGGTGCACATGCATCTGACGTTCCTCACGCTCCCGCCATACATTGGCCAAGCAGCTTCTGGGCTGTGGTGGAGCAGGGCTGGAGAAGGGTGGGCAGGCCGTCTGCTCTGGCATCTCTGCAGGCTGACTCACTGGCTCGTCCCTGAGGCGTCACCAGGAGCAGGTGCAGACCATGACAGGCCACCCGCAGGCCTGTAAAGGGAGGCTCCCGTTTGAACCCCACAACCTGGCCTGAGGACGCAGGTTTTTGTGCTGACACCCACCTGAATTGTGTCCCAGATGCCAGGGCTGTGGGGACCTGTTGGTGTGGACGCCTCCCCAGCTCAAGGGCTGCTGGCTTGGAGGGTCCCGTCCTGATGGCCTGGCGCTCAGGTTGTCCAGCTGCTTGGTGAGGAACCACAATTTCAGGCAGATGCCAGACTTCCTTTAGCAGCTGAAGGATTTCCTTTTTGATGTCCCTGGCGGTGAATGATTGCCACTCTGGCCAGATACCACATCAGTTGCTTCCAGCAACTGGAGAATTTTAGCTCTTTTCCCTGTTATTTAAAATGCCGCATGCCTGTGGGTGGCGGCAAACATACAGCGAGAATCTGTGACTGACAGATCTTTCCCCAGGTGAAAGGTGCAGGTGAGGGCCAGTTCTGCAATGGGGGCAACCCCCAAAGGGGGAGTTTTGTTGAACCTGAGGAGGCCTTGTTGAGCTTAGCTGAGTCTCTGATGTGCCCGGGGGCTCCCCCACTGGAGGCAGCATGAGGCTGACTCAGGACTGTGATGTGGAGACAGAGACTTGGGGGGAGGCAGGAGGAGAGTGAAGGACAGGTCTGGCCTCTCCCAGCTCTGTGACCGGCAGAAGTGGGGTGATTTAGGGAGACCAGCGCGCTGTTAAAGTGTTTCTGGATCCAGGCCTGGCCTCCCAAGGGTTTGGGTACTGTTGTAGCTGAACAGGGACCACACTGGGTGCAAAGTTGTTGTGAACAGACCATGGCTCAGGGCAGACTGGCGGTGATTTTCCCAGCCCAGACACTGGGGAACCACAGTTTGAGACAATTCAGGCTGTTTAGTCCAGTCCTGGACTAAAGCTTTCATTTTCACTCTCTAGGGAGGGGGACGGATACAATGACGCTGTCCAGGTCTAGAAGCAAAAGTGAGACAGGGCTGATCCATTGGGGCAGAAGGATCTAACCCTGAGTTTAGTTAGAACAAATTGTTTCAGTAGGGGAGCTGGGCAGCCAGCAGGTTCACTGAGAACTATCTGATGGCCCCAAGTCATGTTTACTGTGAGTCCCTCCTATTGTATTTGATGTGGAGACAAAAGGGGCAGGAACAATCACCTTCTTGCCTGCTGTCTCCTTTGCGGTTTGGAAGACTCCTCTTTGCCATATGGTGGGTCTGTATAACTCCAGGAACGGTGCCTTAGAAAATCACCTATAGGCCAAGTGACCTGTCACGGAAACACAGGACAAGACCACTCAGATCCATAACTGAAGTTGTGGGACCGTTTATACCCTGACAGACAGAAGCTGTGGATTCCACCCATCAGGAAACTACCTTGTTGGGTCCTTTGCCTGGACAGACCTCCCCACCTCCCCCACAGAATCATATGCACACTGTTGTGTGGAAACAAAGAATGAGCCATGGGTGCTGGAACAGAAAAACAGGAGGCAGGAAGTGTTCCTGCCTTGTGTTTGCTACCTTGTGTTCTTTGACCCCCATGTTATTGTTGCATGTTATTGATGCACTTGCTGAGAGCTTCCGCCTCCCCCCAGCCCCAGGCTCCATGCTGAAGGGGATAAATAGGGAAGGAGAGAAAAATAAAGTGTGCCTTTGCTTGCTGACCAAGAAGTGTATTTTAATCCTGATGTCCTTCGCTCAGACCATCTCTGCTGTCGTGCTGGCGCGGCACTGGAATCTCCTGATCTCCTGATTGATTGACTCATATTCCTGTAGATCTTCTGTCTGTCATTTCTTTTCCATTTGTTTTCCTTAGTGGAGTGAGATTATAAAATTACCTTACTATAAAATTCATCTGATATTACTCTTATAATCAAAATTTTAATTTCCAAGGGTTTTCTTATTCTGTGAATACATACAATTTTATGATTTTTTTCTTATACCAATTTTTTAAAAAATAGTTATTTATTTATGCCTGCAGAACTGGGGTACAGGACAGAGGTGCAGGAGCGGTGAGAGGATTTACCAGAGACAGTGGGGAGCAGAACAGGCATATTGACGAATCCACTGCTGAGGGGAGCAGCGGGCAGGTCAGGAGAGGTCTGCCAGCCATGTGGATCTCCTCACAATGAAAAGGCCGTGGCCAGCTTCACAGTGCTGCACTCCAACCCTCCTTGCCCCAAGGAGGGCCTAGAAGTAGTAATTTTTCACCAGCACTTACCTGCTGAAACAAAATGTAAAGAAATCTTCACTTGAAAATGTCCTCTTCATTAGTGAGTCATGCTAAGATCCACATTTTAAAATGCCTGGTGTGGTGACCTGTGAGCACACAGAGCTCTCTGCGGGATTCCCTTACTGCGTCCCCAGGAAATGTTTGATGCAATGAATTAGACTCTTATTTGTGGCAACAAAATACTTTCCTGAAGGGATGAAAGACAAAATGTAAGGTTTAGATTTAATTAATGAGAAGACACTTTCTTCAAAATGAATGTCTGTTTCTTTAAGAAAATCAACAGACAATTGACATTGATAGTAAATTTGCCTTGATAAAACATAAGCTCTCAGAGAAAACATGAATTATGAAAAACTGATGCCATCACTACTTGATAACTTACAGTAGTAATTTTTCTTTTGGAGATTTATGATTAAAAACTATAACACATTTTATTTTTTTGGGCAATTTGATTCCACTGAAAATCTATTTAACTTTGTGAAACAATGCATTACCTAAAAAAGAAAACAATCACACGTTACCCTAAGTTCCAACCATAGCAAAAGGAAATATAACAGAATAGGATATATGTTGATATTATTACAAGTTTCTCTTTGCCGATAACCTTGAGAAACTCCCACCTGTGCAGCTTTAATTTAGTATCAAAGTGGAATAGTCACAGTTATCTGAGAACACTGCTGCTTCCTTCACCCCTCCAAGCAGCTTCTCCAGCCCAAATCCACTCCTTCTTAGGGTGGGAGGGAATGTGGATCCCCTCTTTCTGTGGGGGTCACTGTTACAGCATTATGTCTTCTCTCAGTCTCTGGGGTGCAGCCTGGACAACCCTACACTCACCCCATTCTCTCTCCCCGTGTCCTGGGATTTCCAGGGAACACACAGAGTCATCCTGCACCATGACAGTGTCCACCGACTCCCCTGGACTCATTCTCCCCAAACCCCAGGACCTGCTGTGATGCTCCCCACCCTCCTGCTGCTGCTCTGGGGGTCCTGGGCCCTGATGGAGACTTGGGCAGGTGAGTGCGGGGTCCAGATTGAAACTGCTGTTCCAGGAGGGAGCAGCAAGGACCCCACTGTGGATGCAGGACCTCAGGAAAGTCTCATCTCCTCCCCAACCTCCTGTAACCCCCTTCAGACCCCTGCGTTATGGCCCTTCGGCCCCTCCCAGCCTCCCCTGAGGTCCCCTGAGTCTGAGCCCTTTTCAATCTTAGGAGCCCCCTTGCTCCTTTCCCCGCTCCAGGCCAATCTCCCTGGGAGCTGACCCCTTCTGAAAGAAGAGTCAGCCTGAGTGTTTCCCCATCCCTCCCAGGACCTCACTCCCTGAGGTATTTCTCCACTGTGATGACCCGGCCCAGCCTTGGGGAGCCCAGTATCATCGCAGTGGGTTACGTGGACGACATGCTGTTCGGGCGGTTCGACAGCGACTCTCCTGGTCAGATAGCAGAGCTGCGGGCGCCCTGGGAAGAGCAGATGGAGCTGGAGGGGCAGGTGTATCTGCACCTGGAGTCGCAGATCCAAAAGGAGGCTCAGTGGTTCAAAGCGTTGCTGCGGGACCTGTGAGGCCTCTACAACCAGAGCGAGGACGGTGAGCTGCCCGGAGCGGTCCCAGCATGAGGTCACCACTCCCGTTGCCACGCTAAGGCCCGGGGTGTCCCAAGTGTCAGGGTCCCACTGACCCCTCGAGGCTGGTGGACCTGCCAGGCCCCTCCCCCAGGAAGACCCCGGGGACCCTCCCGCCTGCAGTTTTCAGTTCAGGTTGATTCAGGGGAAGAGGGCGGGTGACCCCGGGTGACCCGAGGCTGACACAGGGGGGTTCAGGGTCTCGCACCCTCCAGAGGATGTGTGGCTGCGAGGTGGGGCCAGACCTGAGCCTCCTCCGTGGGTACGAGCAGTTCGCCTACGACGGCGCCGATTACATCGCCCTGAACCCGGACCTGCGCTCCTGGACCCCCAAGAACCCGGTGGCCCAGATCACCCAGCGCCAGTGGGATGCATCGGGAAGGGCGGAGCGCGTCAGGGCCATTCTGCAGGGCAGGTGCCTGCGTTGGCTCCACAGACTACTGGAGCTGGGGAAGGAGGTGCTACAGCGCACAGGTAAGGGGGCCTCAAGGCCTCGGACTCCCCTCACCCTGGACCCCACAGGGAAATGGAATAATGGGCAGAACAGCGCCTGCTTTCTGGTCAGAGGGAGGAGACCCTTGGTGTCTTATTCTGTACTGCAGAGACTCAGCCAGAAGACACTGCTTGTCTGGACAGTCAAGGAGTCCATTCTCCCCTGATGGGGGGAAGCCATGCCTGAAATATGTTTATGGATCCTTTTGACCTGGTAGCCATGTCGAGAACCATCAATTTTTCTTTCAAGGTCTTGTTTTTGGTCTGAGTTGGACCTGAGAGCTGCTTTTCTGTGTCACTCACCCCCACCCACATCAGGAGCAGAGTCTGTGTCCTCCTTAGAGACCTGCACCCTCCCACCCTGGGCTCTCATCTGATGATCCCAGATTCCCCAGACAGGGCTGGGCTCTGGGTTTTGTGCTTCCTCTTCCAAACTGACTGTCCTGTCTGTTCTGAGGATGGTCACGTGAGTCTGCTTAGTGTCTGTGAAGGAGACTGAATAATAATCCAAATTGTCATATTTCTGATTTGTTCCCCTTCAGATACCCCAAACACACATGTGACCCATTACCCCATCTCAGATCAGAACGTCACCCTGAAGTGCTGGGCCCTGGGATTCTACCATGCGGAGATCACCCTGATCTGGCAGCGAGATGGGGAGAATCTGACCCAGGACACGGAGCTGGTGGACACCAGGCCTGGGGGGGATGGAACCTTCCAGAAGTGGGCAGCTGTGGTGGTGTCTTCTGGAGAGGAGCAGAGATACACGTGCCATGTGCAGCATGAGGGGCTGCCAGAGCCCTGAGGCCTGAGATGGGGTGAGGAGGGGATGTATGCACAGAGGCTGTTCTCAGGGAAATCAGGGGTACTTCTGAGGACCTTCAGAGGGCCAGGATAAGGCCTGGGCCTCAGGGTCTCCCCTCCCCTTCCCTTCCAGAGCCCTCCTCCTCAGTCCTCCATCTCCACCGGGGGCCTCATTGCTGGCCTGGTTCTCCTTGGAGCTGTGTTCACTGGGGCTGCGGTGGCTGCAGTTGTGATGTGGAGGAAGAAGCTCAGGTAGGGAGGGAGTGGGGGATCCTGTCCACTAGGGGCTTTCAAGTCCCAGAGAGAACTTGCCCCACCTGGTTAGTAGGATGTATCTTACTCACACCTGTGTTGTCCAGTCTGGAGCTGATTGGCTGATTGCTGTCCTTTACTCTTTTGTAATCACTTAGGAAAATGAATCACCAGCTGTTCACCTTGTCATTCTGGTGATGGGGTCTGTTTCCCAGCAAATGTCTTAGCTGAAGGACCCTGCTGAGGGCAGACTCCAGCAGGCAGTTGCTCCCCAGTGTCCTTTCTTCATATCTCCTGTACTGCCATGATTCATTAGTCACATTCTGGAAACTTCCCTGTGGTCCAGACTAGGGGATTCCTTTAGAACTTCATGGGCTGACTCCTCCCTGGTCTCACATGATGTCTCTTCCCACAGGAGGACAAGAGGAAGCCACACTCAGGCTGCAGGTGAGTGTGGATCAGGGGTTTGGTCCCTGAGCCCCTGGGACAGTAGATGGAGCCCCTGGGGGAGTCACCCCATCAGCCCCTCCTGTGGTCTGTGTTGTTTCCCAGGCAGCGACAGTGTCCAGGGCCCTGATGTGTCTCTCAGCCCCTAAAGGTGAGACCCTGAGGCCAGCGTGGGAGGGGCTGGGGCAGAGAGGAGGGACCATGTTATGAGGGAGCTGTGAGGGACATTCTGAGGATGGATGGGCTTTTGACAACACTGACACTCAGTGATTCACCTGAATTTGTTCTGACCAGTTTCCTTCAGAGTGAGACAGCTGCCCTGTGAGGCTGAACATATAGGATTTTTTTCCCCCCATTTTGTGACTTTGGATATACTGATTTATTTAATTTTACTTGTAATCTAGCTGTCAGGACTGATTTAAATTATTGCAATTTATCTGCTTCCTTATATCACTGCTAGTTTTTGTATAATATCTGAGTCTCTGTCAGTCTGGTTCTCACCATTCTCCTCACCACAGCACCCTGACGCATCACCTCAGTCCCTGGGTTCTTCCCTGCCCTGTTCTGACCCCCCCCCCCCCCCGCTCCCAGTGTCACCACCTCTGTGTCCTGGGTCAGGTCCTGCCCATCCCACTGCCAGTTCAGGGTGATCTCCTCAGGGGAGAAGACCAGGGCCCAGCTCCTCAGGTGACCTCATGGTTAGAGGTGGGTGGTGGGTCCTTGTGTATTGGGGGGATCCGAGAGGGAACAAATATTAGAGGCCCTCTAATATTTATCCCTTTCCTTCTAACTTAATTCTCTTAGCACAATCCTTTCTAGTTCACCCACATCATCTAGCCTACATGAGTTTATTTTTTCTGATCACAGAGTATTTCAGTATATATATATATATACATATATATATACACACACACAAACATATATACATATGTATGTGTGTATATGTATATATGTGTGTATGTATATATGTGCAATATATGCACATACACATATATAAGTATGTATGTATATGTATACATATACACACATACATCTTTTTTTTTAATAATAGAATAGTTTATTTTTACATCATTTTGTGCCTTTTTCTATTGCAGTTATAATCCCCATGGGCTTCCCATCACCTAATTACCCATGTGCCATCACCATAGTCCAGTGCACTTCCCCCAATCCCATCATTGATCCCATTCCCCACTCCACCCCCATAAAATGTCTCTGGTATATAGTTGTTCATTATTATTTTATTTTTTCCTCTGGTCCTTTATATTCCTGCTATGAGTGAAATCATCTGGTATTTTTCCTTTCTTTCTGGCTTATTTAACTAAGCATGATCTCTTCCAGCTCCATCCATGTTGCTGCAAAAGGCATGTGTTTATCTTTTTTGATTGCTGAGTAATATTCCATTGTGTATGTGTACCACATCTTTTTTAATCCAGTCATCTATTTTTGGGCATTTGGGCTGTTTCCATGTCTTTCCAATTGTAAATAAAGCAGCAATAAACATGGGGGATGCAGGTATCTTTTTGAATCAGTGTTTTTGTGTCTTTTGGGTAGATACCTAAGAGTGGGATTGCTGGGTCGTAGGGAAGCTCCATGTTAAGCAGTTTGAGGAACCTCCAAACAGTTTTCCATAGTGGTTGTGGTAGTTTGCATTCCCACCAGAATTTTCTTAACATTCTCACCAGAATTTGTTGATGCTAGTTGTCTTAAAATGTGCCATTCTCGGCACATCTTCAAACAACTAGCAACAACAAATGTTGGCGAGGATGTGGAGAAAAAGGAACTCTCCTGCACTGCTGGTGGGAATGCAAACTAGTACAACCACTATGGAAAACTGTTTATTGCTGCTTTATTTACAATTGGAAAAACATGGAAGCAGCCCAAATGCCCAAAAGTAGATGCCTGGATAAAAAAGATGTGGTACATATACACAATGGAATATTACTCAGCAACCAAAAAAGAGAAACACATGTCTTTTGCAGCAACTTGGATGGAGCTGGAAAAGATCATGCTTAGTGAGATAAGCCAGAAAGAGAAAGAAAAATACTGGATGGCTTCACTCATAGCAGGAGTATAATGGACCAGGCGAGAAAATAACAAAAATAATGAACAACCATATACCAGAGACATGTTTTGGGGGTGGAGTGGGGAATGGGATCAAAAACTGGGGGGGGGGAGGGAAATGCACGGGATTATGGTGATGACACACGGGTGACTTGGTGATGGGAAACCAATTGAGATGGGGATTACAATTGAGATGGGGAAAAAATGTACAAAATGATGTAAAAATAAACTGTTATAAAATAAAAAAAAAGAACAAAATAAAACAAAACAAAATGTGGCATTCTCACTGGACACACAACATCTTTTAAAAAAAATTTCTTTTAGGCACAGCAGACCTCTCCTGTCTCACCCACTGCTCCCCTCAGTAGTGTATCTCAGTGGATCCACCTGCTCTGTTCCCCAACTGTCTCTGGTGAATCCTCTCACCACCCATACCCCTTCTTGTGTGTATTAGTACATACAAGAATTACACTCCTGTACTTTTATGTATAAATAAATTAATCTACAAAAATTAAAAACATAAAAGAATTCTTTTCTTACTTTGCTATAGTCCCCATCAGCACATCACCCTGAACAATCCCCAAACTCCCTGTGTTCCTCTCCCTATTCTGGCCTCCTCCATCCCCTCCCTTGCTGTGACCCTCAGATCTATAGTCAGTGGCCACACTGTGACTTTTTCCTAATCTTGTGTTTGGTTTCTTTATATTTTACATTAAGTGAGATCATCTGATATTTATATTTTTCCTTCTGACTTAGTCCCTTCTAGCTCCATCCATGTTGCCACAAATAGCCTGAATTTGTCCTTTTTGATCACTGACTCATAATACTTTGTATAACTATACTGGACTTTTTGGTCCATTTGTAGATTTGGGGGCATTTGGGTTGTTTCCATGTCTTGGCTACTGTAAATAGTGCTGTAGTAATCCCAAGAGTCCAGGTTTCTTGTTTTGAATTAGTGTTTTTCTGTAGATTCCTGGGAGTGGATTCCCTGGATGACATTACAGATCCACTTTTAGTGTCTGAGGAGCCTCCACACAGCTTTCCACAGTGGTTCGGCCAGTTTGCCTTCCGCCAGCATCCAAGAGGGCTCATTTATCTCTCTCTATATCATCTCTAACACTTACTGTTTCTTGTTTTTATTTTTTTTCCCATGTGGGCCCCTCTCTCTGGAGTGAGGTTCACAACATCTTACAATCCATTCAAGACCCCCTGATTCAAAACACAATGAGAAACCATGTCACACCTTCGCGAATGGCCCATGTCAAAAAGACCAGACACAATGAGGATGTGGAGAAAAGGGAACAGCCCTACACTGTTTGGGGGATGCGGCCTGGCTTGGCCCCAATGGAAAACAGTGCCCAGGTTTCTCAGGAAATGAAAGTGGATCCGCCACAGGACCCAGGAGCCACACCAAGGCTCCACCCACAGAGACACCCCCGTTCTCCCCTGACCCCTGCAGCCCACTCACGATGGCCAAGCTGTGGGGAGGGGGGTTGGGGGACAGACACTCCTCGTCAGAACATAAACTCATGTGGTCTGGGGCAGCGTGGATGGGGCTGGAGAGGACTGTGCCAACTGAGATAAGCCAGAGGAGAAAGGCAAGCCCATCCCTTCTATGTGGGCGTGGGGAAATGAGACAAAGGGCTGGACTTTAAGCAATCTCTTGGTCTCTTCAAGCTGTGCCTGTTGCTGACCAGGACTGCAGACCAGCCTGGGCTTCCTGGCCTGGCAGCCCTGATAGGGACTGAACCTCTCTAGGTTGAACAGACTCATTTGACCACAAAGCCTGAGGCCAGCTGATGGGGTCCCCCACTGTGGTGTCTACAACACCCTGGGACCCTCCAGCTCCTGCTGCTTGCTGGAGCTGAGACGGATCTTGAACTCAGTGCTGCAGAAAGTTATTTTTTATACCATATCTATATCCACCACAGGGCCAGAGTGTGACATCTTCCAACAAACTGTTACTCCCTTGATTATAGAAATCTTGGTGCTTTTAACCTTTATTTTCTCTCTGTGATAATGAGATGTCATTTTGTCTATGTCATTCTCGCATGAACCATCCACAATTTTTGAAGTATCAGGTCTACTGAGAACCACGTTTACTGTCACGGCATCACCATGGAGTAAGTTGCCCACCCCTTCACAGTTCCTATGGGCTGAGAGGTTACAGCAAATATATGACAATGCAGGAGTTTCTCAGCAGCTGAATTCAACTCAGTTTCCCTGCCTGGTCCTTCCTCTTTTCACTAACAAGATGATCTACCAGATTCACAGAGGCCTTCATCACAGTTTTATAGATAAGTGACTCCATGAACCTCCTCTCTAGAAGATTCCTATCCCACCTGCAGTCATGGTTTGCGCCCTGGGATGGCTTCTCCAGCATCTACCCTGTCACCTCTGCCATTTCTGCTAACACCAGCTGGTGTATGTAGGTTGTTCGTCTCAGTCGTTCTCTACAATGTCCATTCATGACAGTTATTTCTGTGTCCTCAAATCTAAGGGCCATTTATTAATGACTCAACTCACTATACAGACCTTCACCTCTTCTTGACTATAACTGTGGACAATATTTTACATTGTGGGATAGAATTGGAAGCTGATTAAAAATCCTCATTTGAAGGTGGCCTCAGTTGTGTGAAGAAGCCAGCAGGAAATGGTTGTGAAAAATGAACAATTAGTCAATGGAGTGTTTATAAAGACTGAGCAGATTATTGCCCAGTTATTAAATATTTTTAATGAGGGGAAATATTCTACAGCTGCCAGGGGACATAGCACTGGCAGCATGAGAGCTCTGCTGAGGGACGGTCACGGTAAGTGGCCCGGAGAGACCAGCCTCATGTGGGTGGTCACCATGGTGACCTCAGAGGGGAACGTGTCTTTCCACCCAGTGGGTCTGTCACTTACATAGGCTCATCACTAATTTTTAAAATGGTGGAGAGAAAATAAATGATTCAGGGGTTCAGATTATGTCCCTTTGCTTTACTTACCTCGTAACATTCATTAAACTATTGTGAAAAAAAATCTCTTCTGGTAGGAGGGAGGTATTGAGGGGAATAAAAGGAAGTGAAAAATTGAGAAGATAAACAAA